AAAATTGAAAGCCCTTTTAAATTTTCTAGAAATATCATGTTTTAAACCATTACGGTCTTCTGCAAAATCCTCCCACGACTTCCCGAAAAACCTATTATGATCTTCTAGAGATATCATCTTTTTATCCCCGCCTAACTCAACATGATCTGTGACAAAACCATTATGCTCCTTCGCCTTACAGCTGGTGGCTAGTGCTAATACTGCCAGGGACTAATTCGTAGAGATACAGAGAAGGCGAGTAGAAAAGACTAACATTTGTGACAAAACCAAGATCAAGGTATTCTCTTTGGTCCAGTCTCTGTTTGAGTTCTGTCTCCATTTGATGTGATTTTCGAATTTCCACTCCATATTTTGTCTTGAAGAGATATTTGTTGGTATTTAGTACCAACGATTTGCTTTTGACCGCCATACAATGTGTAATACTCTACAGAGTCTGAAGAAAACAGAGGAATGCGACTCATTTTTTGGATTTCTAAACATGACAGTTATGGTGATTTCATGTTGTCCATGTTTAGTTTCTCACAACAAATAATGATATCACGAATGTGAGCTTGGTTAAAGGAGCACATTAACTTGAATGTTCTCTAATTATACGTAGTGTTGATGTTGTCCAGGTTTTAACTAGAGCCCTGCCATCTTTGCTAATAAATGAATCACATTGATCTTAAAAGGAAAAAGAATAAGATTGTTATAAAATACAAATATGTTTTAACAGTTTTTAAACTATAGGGGGTTGTATTAAATCAAAAGTTAGGGAGGCTGATTGCTTCATGGATTGTATTTTGATGCATGATATGATATGGATCTAAAAAAATTCCTTATTCAAAAACTTATTTGTTTGCAATGAATATTAAAGTGCTTCCATGAGGGATAAAATCCAATCACATTTTATTTTGGTTGCACATGCATTTTGTTGAGGATGTGTGACTAAAGTCACAAATTCAGATGAAATCAACATAATTTTAGGGGGTGTGGTCGCATTTGATACATATATCCTTCTGGTCAATCCAAAATCTGAGGCATGAAAAGTGACAGGCAAAGAATATCTTTGATGATAACTTATTATTTTAAACTTGTACGTGAGTCCTATTTTTTAATTCAAAATCCACAAAATGCATAGAAACAAATAGCCACCGAGTATTTGCGCAAACTTAAAGGGGATTTCATGATGATTATTGTATTGCTAACTGAACTAACACCCTAAAGAGAGCTCAAAGTCTGATAGGCTCTTAAACATTACCAAAATTTTCTGTAAAGCCCTCAACCTTTTATTTTGGTCTAGTAAGCTCCTGAACTTTACCCAACTTTTCTATAAAGCCCTGAAATTCTTGTTTCAATCTATTACATCCCTAAAGTTTTTAGTTTCATTCTATTTAGCCTATACTGTAGTTCAACATAACTATAGAAGGGTATGATGATCTTATTGAATTTATTTTCTAGGAAAAAGAATGTTCTTATTTCCATAATCTTAGAAGGATATAATTTAACTAAAGGAAATCTTTTTACTAATCCCTTCTTAATGTTTGACTAAAGAAAGAAAATTCTCAACAAACTTCCATGTTGTTGTAATATACTAAAGAAATGAAACAAGAGACAAGAGACAAGAGAAGAAGAGAAATTGTAATCTTTAATATACTAAAGAAATGAAACAAGAGACAAGAGACAAGAGAAGAAGAGAAATTGTAATCTTTTATTCATCCTCTTCCATTTCCATACATCGTACAATTTATAGATACATGATGGAATACAAAAGGACATGAAATTAATAGTCCACATACAAAGTAATGTCCACATACATTTTGTCTTTTAGATATCAACAAAATGTCTTTTAGATATCAACAAAATGTCTTTTAGATTTCAACACTCCCCCTTGGACATTACTTCGAAATGTCAATGCCTCGTTAAAAACCTCGCTAGAAAAACCCAGTGGGATAAAAACTAGTCGAGGAAAAGAGTACACGACATTAGTAGATTCTTGTTGCATTAGTTGCCTCATTAAAAACCTTTAACTAAGAAAACCCCGTGGGACAAAACTTAGCAAAGGAAAAAAGAGTACAACTATAGATCTTCGGGATCCAAACTTGTGTTGCATTAGTTGCCTCATTAAAAACCTTTAGCTAAGAAAACCTTGTGGGACAAAACTTAGCAAAAGGAAAAAAAAGTACAACTATAGTCCTTCAAGGCACAATCTTCGGGATTGCGTTGAAAATTCGCTCCCCCTGATGATGACAATCTTCTGAGTCTATGCTAAGAAAAACCCAGTGAGACAAAACTTAGCGAAAAGGGCAAATTATGATAATAGACCTTCAGGGTCCAATCTTCAGGATTGTTCTTTAAGAATTTGTTCCCCTTGAAGAAGATAGTCTTTCAAGTCTATGCATATTGTGAACATATTTCTCATAAGTTGATGTAGGCAGAGATTTAGTGAACAAATCTACAAGATTGTCACTTGAGCGAACTTTTTTGATGGTGATTTCGCCATTCTTTTGGAGAATTTTGGCGTAATATGTTTTGTCATGGTTCCTTTTATATATACACTGCTCATTTGTGCAACACAAGCTGCATTGTCCTCATAAAGGACAGTGGGGGTAATATCATCTTTCGCTAGACCACACGAGCCACAAATATATCGTATCAACGATCTTAATCATACACATTCTCATGAGGCCATATATAAAGCAATAATCTCTGAGTGGTTAGAAGAAGTAGTCACCATGGTCTGCTTAATAGACCTCTAAGAAACGACAATACCACCACAGAGAAAAACATAACCAGTCTAGGATCTGGCGTTATGGGGATCAGATATGTAGCCAGCGTCCTAATAGCCCACCAATGTCATATCTTGATTTCTTTTATAGAATAGTCCAAGATCTTTTGTACCTTGAAGATAGCGAAGGAAATGTTTAACGACATTACATTGTCTCCTTGTAGGATAAGCACTATACCTTGCTAGCAAGTTCACCGCAAATGCAATATCAGGCCTGGTGCAATTTGTGAGATAAAGAAGTGCTCCAATGGTGCTTAGATAGGGAACTTCTGGCGCTAACATTTCTTCATTATCTTCTTTGGGTCTAAATGCTTTATAAACACACAAGGGCATACATCATTATTTGCATATCTCCTCTTCAGGAGGAACTCACTCAGTCGGTTATACCACATTCTACCCGACTGTTTCAAGTCGTATAACGACCTTTATAATTTAATATTATACATGTTGCGATTCTTGCTTTCTCTTAATTCAGGAATTTTAAGTCCATCAGGGACTTTCATATAAAAATATTAGCGTCTAATGACTCATATAAATATAAAAATATTAGCGTCTAATGACTCATATAAAAATGTGGTCATGACATACATATACTGCATATATCTGCCATATGTATTAACTTGCGGAACGTAATACAATCACTAATAGGAGAATATTTTACATCGTGAACCCATTGAGCTATGAATCCCGCTTTATATCTCACCACCTTACAATTCTCATTTATTTTTCTTACGAAGACCCATTATATCCTGCAGGGATATATGAACTACAGGTTCAAAATACTTTAGCGAGTTCAGCTCAGCCTCAATTGCCACTTTCCATCTCACCTAGTCCGAGTGCTTCAAGCACTCTACTACCGACTTAGGTTCTAGATCCGGATTATTTTCGGAGATAGTAAGAGCAAATGTAGAGGCAACTATGTTGTCGACAACTTTTATATTTATATTATATATTTCTCCTTTTTCACAAATTCATGGCCACTTTAATTCATATTTTATATCAACCAAATCCTCGTCATTTCCCTTAACAATTGGATTTGGCCGTTCCGCATCTCCAATATTGTGATTATCAAGTGCACGTGCAATTTACTGGAGATTCCATCTTCTGGATGAACCTCTTCCGGAGGTTATGAGAGTGACTGTCTTTCTATATAGAATTTAGTTTGCCGCGGACTTTTATCTTTTTCATATGCTTCTAGCACAGTATGCTTCTGGCATACCAAATCATCAATGATATACTCAACATGAATATGACACTTAGTCACTCTTTTCTTGGCAGATTATCTGGTGAACTTCTGGTTTAGTTTGACTAGTACGTGGATATAAATATTGAAGATCGGACTTTTATCTTTTTCATATGCTTCTAGCACAGTATGCTTCTGGCATACCAAATCATCAATGATATACTCAACATGAATATGACAAATCATCAATGATATACTCAACATGAATATGGGGCTTAGTCACTCTTTTCTTAGCAGATTATCATTTGAATTTCTGGTTCATTTTGACTAGTACGTGGATATAAATATTAAAGATTTTTTTTCACCAATGGAATTTCTTGACATTATTTTGTATTTTGGGCACTAATCTCCCCCTAATGTCGAGAATCATCTTCAATAAAAATGCAGTCAGCGTACTAAATTGTAAATTGATCCCCTAACATGGGCCATAGGTACTAAATTATTGACGGAGTTTTATAAATAATGTATGTACCTTCACCGAGGTCCCATAAAGGTATGCTATGGTGGTGATATAGAAACATGGACTGCAAATAAATAATACGCAGATGGGAAATGTTTCGCTTCTTCACCACGTATTAGATAAAGGGAGAAAATTGTGATATGCAGTCGGTCGGATTTGGTTTGAATGCCCCATTTAATTTAAGAAAATCCGACGAATCATATTTTGCCCAAGATGACCCAATCGCTCATGCCAGAGTTTAAAAGAATTTGGGTCCCTAAATCTTAAACTCATCGCAACATGGTGTATTTTAGGTCAGATATATGTGTAGTACAACCCTGAGGAGAAAGATGGAAGCTTCTCTACAACCACGTATTAGATAAAGGGGAATAATCATTTAAACAAAACCCATACAAACTTGAAATTCTCTTACAAAAACATGCAAAATAAGTCTCGAAAAATTCCAAATTAACTTAACAAAAGTAACTAGAACATGTCTGAAAAACGAAATAGACTAATAAAACATGCATAGATAGTGATAAATAACATGATCACTCCTGGTCACCAAAATCATCAAGCTCCATCTTCAATAAGTCATCATCGTCCAGATTCAGGTTATCATCATAATTGTCATCTTTTAGGGTCATGTTTGCTTCAGGCAAACTAGCATGATGTTTTTCACCTTGTTTTGACTTCCCCTTTGAGTCCTTCAGCATTCTCTGATAGGCCTCAACCAAATGTTTCGGTGTACGACATGTGCGAGACCAATGGTCCTCACATCCACACCAATAGCAAGCTTGCTTGTTATTTGCAGTCTGTTGATGAGAGTTAGGCTTGTTTGAAGGAGATTTATCCTTGTTCTGACCCTTGCCATGGTCCTGAATACCATAAGCATTGCGACGACCACGACCCCTACCACCACGATAAGACCCGCGACCACGTCTACGACCTCTACCATGTCCACGCCCAAGAGTATTACTCTGATTTGCGGCATGTGCTTCAGGCACAGCTTGCGAACCAACTGGTCTAGCATTATGGTTGCGCATCAGAAGTTGGTTGTGTTTCTCTGCAACTAGTAATGCAGAGATCAATTCAGAGTGTTTTGAATAGTTTTTGGTCCTGTACTGCTGCTGGAGTATAAGATTACTTGCATGGAATGTAGAGAGGGTCTTTTCAATCAATTCATCCTCTGTAATGTTCTGCTTACAGAGCTTCAGCTGTGAGACAATGCGGTGGAGAGTTGAATTGTATTCAGTTACGGATTTAAAATCCTGAAATCGCAAGTTCAACCAATCATACTGTGCTTGCGGAAGCATAATAGCCGTCCGTTGGTCAAAGCGATCCTTTAGGGATTGCCATAGAATAGCAGGATCTTTTTCAGTAAGGTACTCATTTTTCAGGTCTTAATTTGTTGAGATGATGACGAAGAAAAATCAATGCCTTTGCCTTCTGGGCAGAGGTGCTCTGAGAAGCTGAATCAATAGTGCTGCTTAAATCACAAGAATCTAGGTAGATTTCAACATCCAAGGCCCAAGTCAAGTAGTTGCTGCCATCAACGGCAAGCTCAGCAAATGCCCTTTTGGATATGTCAGACATTTTTCAGAAATGCTATAATTATCAAAAGAAGATAATCAATCCACCAAATTTATAAAATATTACACTATACAAGGTGTGCATACAAACAGAAGTGAATAAATAAAGGAGTCACAATGCATGCCTCTGTTCTAATTAGCTAGGACAAGTGATCAATCAACAGAATGTGTGCATTTGTAAATTGTATTAAACCAGACTGGGTGAGTAATTAAGTGGGATCATCTTCAAGGGGTGTCCTTTTAATGTGTAGATAAGAAGTGATCATCTCATAACCAAGGACCAATGTCCAAGGATACCCATATTCCTTGTATATAATACACATATGAGTGTGTACAAGTGTGTTCGTATATTATCATTTTTGTACACACCAGACCATTAGCATATTATCATTTTTGTACTTCCAGATCGGAAAGAAAAATTGAATTTAGAATTGCGACTTCTATGTAAAATTGCATTTCCCCCCTCTTTATCAGCAATGGTAGTTAGAATAAATTGAACAAAAAAACTCAGATCAGCCCTTCTAATTAGATGTGAAAGGATGGGTGCAACGGGAAGGTCTGCTTAATAGTAGATCATTGCCTGGCCATTAATCAATGCAAACACTCTCAAAGAGAAGCATGTGAAACTACAAGGTATTTAAGGGCCAATCTGTAACAATTGAACTAAAGAGGAAGTAAGTTCAATTTGGTCATAAATGTTAGCAGAATTAAGTAACAGTTACATGATAAAGGGAAAATAGAAAAACAAGAAAACTACAGTACAACTTACAATCAAACAAAAAAAAACATCTACCATAATAACCTGGAAGCTTACGAGGTTAAGAGATATCCATAAGTAGCTATTTTTTTTCATGGCAAAGGAAAATGACATCTGTCTTGGTCAGCGAATGATATAAAAGTTTAATTAGACCTATACTATTATCAATCCTTTCATAACCAATAACGTTTAACCACAGGGATCAATAGAAGACTCACAAAGGAAATGTAGACACATCTATACATCTATGAAGATTTCAGAGTCAACAGACAGTAGCATGTTCTGCAACAGACATGAAACTACTCCTAAGTGGTTTCTTAGCTGTCCGTAAACAAACAGTGTTTAAAAAGATTTACATACTAAGGAAAAACAGCTTTAATGAAAAATAAATGATTGAGTTCCAATATCATACTGGACATAATTATAATCATTCGACGGAAAGCTTGATACTATGTAAATAGACAAAGGCCAAATGTATTATTACCTTGCAGAAGATGTATACCGAAAAATCTATTACCACGAACCGATGATCGACCAGCTAGAGCCAATCGTGCTGATAACGTGTTGTAATATACTAAAGAAATGAAACAAGAGACAAGAGACAAGAGAAGAAGAGAAATTGTAATCTTTTATTCATCCTCTTCCATTTCCATTCATCGTACAATTTATAGATACATGATGGAATACAAAAGGACATGAAATTAATAGTCCACATACAAAGTAATGTCCACAAACATTTTGTCTTTTAGATATCAACAAAATGTCTTTTAGATATAAACAAAATGTCTTTTAGATTTCAACACATGTGTTGTTATTTCCCTTTCAATCAATTTTTTTTCTGTATACATTCCTGTAACTTGATTATGTTCAATATCACAATACTTGGATTTTTCATTATGTACATCCCCAAGACGTGCGTACTAGATGGTACAAGAATTAAAACTTTTGAGATATAGAAGGTAGATCGAAACTTAAATTCTAAGAGATTTGTCATAGGGACAAAATAGAATAAAAGCTAAAACTTTAGGGGCTTAAGGGATTATAATAAAAGTTTAAGAGCTCCATAGAAAAGTTATTTAAAGTTTAGAGGCTTAATAGATTAAACTAGAAGTTTAAGGGCAGGTTTTGTAAAATTTAGGGGCTTATTAATCTTTGAGCTCCGCCTTAACCAGCAATAATTGCGCTGCCCTTTCTTTCCCTCTTCCTTCCTCAGTTCCTCTTCCCTAGAAATAAATAAATGCCCTATCTTTGTTGCTTATCTTTTAATTCATTATTGCTTTATTTATTAATTCTGGGGAAATTTATTTTATTGATTATTGCTACCCTACTTGCTTACAGCTGCTTCAATCTTGCTACAAACAAGGGGAATAAATAATGAATAATGAAGAACTGGGCCAAAATACATATTAGGGTTGTTAAAAAAAAAAATTCATGGAGCGGGCGACCAGGCGACGGGACAAGGAGCAGGCGGCGGCGAGAATTCCTAGACGGCGTGTAGTGTCCATCAAAGGTGGTAAGATCATCATTTCACCTCTCTACCCAACCCCTTCGTCTTCAGCCCCTTTCTCGTCCTCTTCCCCAAACGATACCCACCAAAATCCCTCTTTTTCATCCCGTCCTCCCCAAAATCCTCAGATCCAGAACCCTAAGCCATCTTTTGTTGACATCCTGAAGGGAGTCAAGACCCATCTCCCCTCTTCTGTTCCTCAGTCATCTTCAAAAGGACTTCTTCCTCTCCCCGATCAGGGTTGGACCACAGTTTCTTATAAGAGGAGGCCCAAGAGACCGAGATCCCCCCCCTCTTTTTCTAAGACCTTTCATCCCCTAAAGAACCCTAGGTGTTTTCTCTGTGGTAGATCGGATCACATGGCCAAAAATTGCTCTTTAGGTGACTTCAAATGCTTCGCCTGCAACCTTGTAGGGCATACTTCCGTTTGTTGCCCTAACATAAAACAGCCCCCTTTGCTCAGCCTCCCTCCGCAGTTACCTCCTCCTCCCCCCCCTCCTCTTTTTCTTCCTAAAGTCCCTCTCCCTCCCTCAGTTAGTTCCAGTTTGGAGGAGTTTTCGAGATACGCTCATTTTCAGATAAGGTCCGGTAAGCCCTCATACGCAGATCTGGTGGAGGGTTTGGAGCTTCACCTAAAGGTGGCGAACTGGAAGCATGTGATTAGGAAATCTTCGGATAACTCTTACTTCATCCAGTTCCCAGACGCGGAGACTCTGGACCATGCATGCTCTAAACCCTTCTTCAATTTGGGTAAATTTGGGGGCACCTTCTCCCCATGGTCAGAAGCTAGCGACCTTAAAGTGCTTCCTAAGTTCTTCTATGTTTGGGTGGAAGTAATCGGACTACCTATTCACTTATGGGATTCTGAGTTCATTTCGAGTATTCTTGTGGACATAGGAGATGTCATTGCCTTCTCAGACGACATTCTGCTGAAGAAAGAAGCACTTGCCTGTAAAGCCATGCTGCATGTAAGGGATCCCTCTGAAATCCCCCAAGAAATTATCTTCAGGTATGAGGCAGATAATGGAGTCCACATCTTGGAGGGTAAGGTTAAGTTGAGAGTGGCTGGGGAGCCTTTACCAGCTGAAAAGGGAAGAGATCGAGACCTGTTTGAAGCCTTTGTTCGGAAAGAAGGAGCCCCTCCCTCTTCGCCTCAGGAACAGTCTTACCGGGATCCTCGCCAGATTTTAACATCTCATCCTCTGCTGCCTAGCCAAGCTACATCTAAAGGGAAAAGCCCCATGGTAGAAGATGGAGGCTCTAACCCTTAAAGTCAACACGTGACGACAAAAGCCAACCTACGCGGTTCAAAACCCTAAGGTGGACGCCGGTCAACGCGTAACCTTAGGTCAACGCCGGACAGCGCGTTGCGACAAAAGTCAACACGTGACGACGAAAGTCAACACGTGACGACAAAAGCCAACCTACGCGGTTCAAAACCCTAAGGTGGACGCCGGTCAACGCGTAACCTTAGGTCAACGCCGGACAGCGCGTTGCGACAAAAGTCAACACGTGACGACGAAAGTCAACACGTGACGACAAAAGCCAACCTACGCGGTTCAAAACCCTAAGGTGGACGCCGGTCAACGCGTAACCTTAGGTCAACGCCGGACAGCGCGTTGCGACAAAAGTCAACACGTGACGACGAAAGTCAACACGTGACGACAAAAGCCAACCTACGCGGTTCAAAACCCTAAGGTGGACGCCGGTCAACGCGTAACCTTAGGTCAACGCCGGACAGCGCGTTGCGACAAAAGTCAACACGTGACGACGAAAGTCAACACGTGACGACAAAAGCCAACCTACGCGGTTCAAAACCCTAAGGTGGACGCCGGTCAACGCGTAACCTTAGGTCAACGCCGGACAGCGCGTTGCGACAAAAGTCAACACGTGACGACGAAAGTCAACACGTGACGACAAAAGCCAACCTACGCGGTTCAAAACCCTAAGGTGGACGCCGGTCAACGCGTAACCTTAGGTCAACGCCGGACAGCGCGTTGCGACAAAAGTCAACACGTGACGACGAAAGTCAACACGTGACGACAAAAGCCAACCTACGCGGTTCAAAACCCTAAGGTGGACGCCGGTCAACGCGTAACCTTAGGTCAACGCCGGACAGCGCGTTGCGACAAAAGTCAACACGTGACGACGAAAGTCAACACGTGACGACAAAAGCCAACCTACGCGGTTCAAAACCCTAAGGTGGACGCCGGTCAACGCGTAACCTTAGGTCAACGCCGGACAGCGCGTTGCGACAAAAGTCAACACGTGACGACGAAAGTCAACACGTGACGACAAAAGCCAACCTACGCGGTTCAAAACCCTAAGGTGGACGCCGGTCAACGCGTAACCTTAGGTCAACGCCGGACAGCGCGTTGCGACAAAAGTCAACACGTGACGACGAAAGTCAACACGTGACGACAAAAGCCAACCTACGCGGTTCAAAACCCTAAGGTGGACGCCGGTCAACGCGTAACCTTAGGTCAACGCCGGACAGCGCGTTGCGACAAAAGTCAACACGTGACGACGAAAGTCAACACGTGACGACAAAAGCCAACCTACGCGGTTCAAAACCCTAAGGTGGACGCCGGTCAACGCGTAACCTTAGGTCAACGCCGGACAGCGCGTTGCGACAAAAGTCAACACGTGACGACGAAAGTCAACACGTGACGACAAAAGCCAACCTACGCGGTTCAAAACCCTAAGGTGGACGCCGGTCAACGCGTAACCTTAGGTCAAC